TAGTCTGTGTTGGATCCTCTTTTTGCTCAACATCTGTACTTCAGGCCTTGCCAATATGACAAAAAATCCACAATTCAGTCCGTTACAGACTTCAGGATTTAGGCTAGAGCAAAGCTAGAAAGACTGCTTGTACCAAACATCATTTAAAAAAGCAACAGCTTTAATTTCCACTGCAAGGCACTCCATGTCATCCCAGTTGCATTTTACTATCAACAAAACAAGTGAGCAGGATTAACAGATGAAGATATAATATTTCCCAGCATATTTAAAAACAGGTAGTGGTCTGGTGTTACTGTCTTTCCCTTAATGTCCACATGACTTTCTCTTGTCTCACTGCAGCTTAACAGCAGAAATTTTTTTCACAGCCCTGCCCAGCACTTTCCAGCCTGAAGAGTTTCCCTTGTTCTTGCCAGTGTGTTAATCTCTGCCCCACAGTCTGTTTGGGAACCATTTAATGGTCTCCATAGCACACTCAACATGGCAAATATTTAGCTGGAAGGAATTAACAGCAGTTAATCATTAATTCATAATGGGTTTAATGTCATAATTAACAGCATCATCAATATGTAAATACGAATTAAAGCAACTAGTCTGGAGGGCAGCTTGGCCATAATAAAAGCACTTTGCTGTTTTCACACTGCGTGTTTAGAATCACAGAGGTGTAGAAAAGACTGGTACATATCTCTGAACTATATTTCAACGGCTGCATGCTTTTTATTTATACCATGCAGTTTAGTCCCATTAACTTCATACCCCATTTCAAAACACAAACATCTTGCTGTGCCAAACAAAACAAGATTTGCTATTCTTTTTCCACACCAAGTAGTTACATCAACAGCTGCAACTATACAAAAACCAGTGACCTCTTGACATAGTTTCCCTCTGTACAGCAATTTAACCAACTTGGCTGCTTAAAGGTCATATTTCTGCAACAGCTATGAGCCTCTGGTTTAAACTTAGCTGAGATAGGAAGTTACTTCTAGCTACTACCTTCAGTAACATACGCTCACACATTTGGCTGACTTACTTTCATTCTGAATGGACAGTTGCTGGGATCACAGAAGAGCACAACAAAATAATCATGTTGACATTTGCAGCAAAGGACAGGGAACCAACAACAAATTGACTTTCCCATCTATCGGAGTAGCACATGGAGAACTGCGATTTGGTGAAAGAGATTTGCTAGACGAGCTGTCTTCACATGTGGTGACACACCATATAAATAGGTACTTACAGTTCCCTATTTGTAGGAGGAGTCAAATCTTGTTATTAGGGCACTAGCCTGGGATAAGAGCAATTTCTTATTTCTTGCTGCACCAGCAAATCTTTCTGTTGTAGCCTAGGGCAGCTTATTCAGAGTCAAATTCTTGGATGTGCTTAGGTGGTTTAAATCCATACAGTTGTGCAGGACTTAGGTGCCTACTAAGCTTTAAATATGCTGTTTGTTACCTTGAAGTTCCGCATCCATAAAATGGCAATACTTCCCTAACTTCATAGCTTCTATGAAATATTTTTGAGTGACTCAGGTATTATGACAAGACAAATACAGTAAGAAAGTTATCCTTTCAAAGAATCTCAACATCCCATAGTCACACTTTCACCACTACCACCAAGTTACTTCTAAAAGCTGCACCCACTGTGCAGTAACTTTTGTTCAGTTTCTCATTAGAGACGTTTAATAGCAGGGAAGTAGATTTTTCAGATAAGTGGCAGAATTATTAGCATCAGTGGGTATGAGACACTGTTAGCTCAGCTGTTTCCACAGTGCACAGATAGCTGCAATGTGGACAAGCCCCTGCCGAAATAGCTTAGGTCACTCCCTGACTGACAATTAGTTGCAAAAGGAGAGAAAGGGAGGATATTATAACTGCACCGTTTTACCTGCCAAACACCTACCTTTAAGCATCTGCAGCAAGGAAAGAATAAAAATAAACACAGTAGAAAGGTTAGTGTCTGTCTTTACAGAAGTCCTTTCTCTTTTAGGAAATGCCAGCTTTAATAAGATTAGAGGAAAAGGGCAACTGAGATTTACCTGCCGCCTTTCAAACAATAGAAGGGAAGAACAATTTTAAAAGGCTCTGGAAAGCATGTCTTGTGGAAAAGGCAAAAGTCAAGAGGAGGAGACTAGCATTTCCAAGATCATCAGTCTCCTCATGAGGTACATTTTTCTTTTCCTCTGATGGAAAAGAAGATCAAAATAGGCTGGGGAGGTAATTGGATTGCTCATATGGAAACCCTGACTAAAACAACATTAAAAAATGATACAGCTCAACACTTCTGACGGGACACTCAGCTTTCAAAATACCCAGTGTAAAAAGGTTTTGCATGAAGTTGTTCATTCATCCTCTACCCATAGATTTACTTGTCTCCTTATTAAAGCTTTAAAAAACCCAAGAGAGCATTTTCGAAAGGCACAACTGGAACCTAAACACTAAGTAGTTAGGGTGAGATAAACACATTTGCTTCTGATCTAGTCTTCAGATTTGTCCCTCTGAAGACAAGTTGTCAGTGTTGTCATCTGTACCAACTGAGTCCCAGGTATTTAAAAATGGAAGAATTATAAACACAAATGGCCCAGAGCTTCAGTCTAGACAGGGTACAGTCCAATAGTTTTAAGGGTCAAGCTTAGCTAAGCACGGAGAGAGGGTAGACACATTGGAATAAATTCACCCCAAAACACTGTGCTTGCCCAGTAGATTTTAGCAGTCCTTACACAGTTAAAGCTGAATTGGGCAAACTGTAATTCCTCCCAGATTTAGTTGAAAGATTTTGAGATCTTTTTAGCCACTGGCCAAACAGTGCTGCTGAAACAGAAAAGAAGTTTCCACATGCTGTTAGCAGACATTGAAGTTACGTTGCTTCACCTGACTGAAGACTGAATAAAGATTACCTGGACTGGGTAGAATATTGCCTGGAGTGTAGGAAGAGTCTCTGTAAAATAGTGGTCCCAGATTTCACACAGGACATCAATGCGATCCTCGCCTAAAAAAACATGACAGGGACACCTTTAGCAACAGGGTCACTAAAATAAAGTTGAATTTTCCCACTAGTCTGTAATTCCCCAAATAAGAGATACAAACGCACCCTTCTCATTCAGTTTCTGTCCAAAACTGGACATCACTCAGCTAAGCATCACCTTAACTGACAGAGACACAAGGCTGTGACCATAAATTGCTGTCACTTACTGCAAAGAAGACAGCTCTATACAAAACATGAGACCAATTCCAGCGGAATAGTGATGCTTCTCTTCAACTGGAGGCTTTAACTCCACCACAAAGGATTGTGTAATCTCACAGCTCACAGTTATCATGCTCAGCTAGCATGGAAGCATGGCCGCACATGAGCAGCTGAATCTGAAAACCAGCAGATCACAGCCAACAACAACTGTTCTGCAGTAACTGAGTCAGGAGAAACCATTTACAAGAGCTGGGCCCCCTCCAGCATCCTCCCACTCCCAAGTACAGATGCAGCAGTCCAGACCCTGATGAGCCCACAATCCCACCATGCTCCTTTCAAACGTGGCATTTGGGAGGGTTCCCAAATAAAATCCACTTGTGGCCAACCACATATGACTCCGATTCAAACAAACATCCCCAAATGTAAGTGGGTTATTTAAAATGAAGGCAGTCTAAGTTATGCAACTTGTGATTCCCGCGACAGGAATACAACTGTGGTCAAAATCCTATTATTAACAAAAAATGTTTTACTGAATATAATTGTTTGAATAGACATTTTAAATTATGCTCATAGGCTTGACTTACAGAGCTGTGCGTTCCTCAGCATTTGGGCCCGAATCCTCTAAGGTTTTTTAGGAGATTTTTCCCATCCCAAAGGCCAAAGGTTTACAATGCTTTTTCAAGTTTTAGAGACATTCCCCAGAAATTTCAGGTAAAATACAGACCCAGATTTAGTAACACAAGTTTCTGACAAAAAGGATTTTCCAGGATACATTCCACGGAGCCTCAGCTGGAACTCACAAGCAGTCAAGACTCAAGGAGCAGTAACAGAAGATGGCTGCTTAAAACAGCTTTGAAGGCTCAGCCTCGAAGTGACTAAAGGCTCTACATGAGGAACTGGAACATACGTAAAACTGCAACTCAAAGGAGTCTTATCGCTGTATACTGAAGTGCTTTCCCCATCTGGAGACTTCCACGTGGGCATTCACTGTGCTGACCCATGGGTTGTGCTGCTTAAGACACAACCAGAGAGCAGAGACCCAGCAGGACCAGCACCTGCAGACATTTCCTTTCAAGCAGAGAGCCCACCGACTATCACAGGAGGGTTCAGAGGGAGGCTTCACCATGTCAGGTATGACGCCGGCTTCAAAACTGGAACTGCAGGCAGACAAGCACCTACCCACCACTCCCATAACAGCTACCTATTACCAGAAACTGCCAACAGTAAGTGAAAAAGACAACAGGAAACAGACTAATTGAATGTTTACATTTTTCCCTCCCCTGCCTCCTCCCCAGGACTGCAACAAACCTACATATTATGAAAGAAACGTGCCCATGAGTCATCTCCTGCAGAGATGCCAGCCTGCATGGGCAAAGGGGCTCCAGTATCACTTCAAACTAGGGTCAAAAAAATGAGGCATAGGAAGAGGGTTTTGCTGTCTGCCTGGGAAACTTCATTTTATCCCAACTACCTGAGCAGCTGCAAATGACTCCTGGGCAGCTCTCAGCTTCTTACAGACTGGAACTCAATTTTGATAATGCTAAAACAGATACTGGAATAGTTTTATAGGAATATAGAAAACAAAACCTGTGGTAAGCTGTGCAGCACTCGTTCTGAAGAGCTGACAGTGCCAGGGCAGGTACCCACATTTGGGAAAATGCATGAGTCTGCCTTTTTTCCTCCCTTGCATGGCCAATGCCAAAGAAGCATGCACCAAGCAGGAGGCTGGCAACTGCACAGCTCCATCAGGGTCCAAGTTGTACAGCCTGCTGGCCGGGTGGAGAAGTCACTTGGTGAAGAACGGTGTGGAGGAACCAGCATCAGCAATCATGCGAGATTGTAAGCGTCTCTCGGCATTTAATGACCCAGATACAGCAAGTGGGGGATTAGCAAGGGATCTTTCCTACAGGCTACAAAACTGGGTCAAATCAACCAGCAGCCTAGTTTTGAATGACATGTGCTCTAGACAGCTTGCTCTGCTTGAGCAAACTGTTAATAAACGTAACTAACTCCCCACACATCCAACACTGAGAGTTGCTGCACCACGCTGGCCTTTGTCAACAGGCTCTGCAGTAGCAAGCGTCTGTACCCCAGTGGTTTGAACAGAACTTCACATGTGATCAACTTTTTTCCTGACAGATTTCATTCCCACCCAAGTGACTGTTTTTTCTTTAAATTTACACAAAGCCTGTTAGTTCAGGTCTCAAGAGCATGCCACAGTAACCAAAATCATGCTTACATCAAGCTGCAAATCACATTGAGAAATAAAAGGCAGAAGGCAGCTCTCAGCAGTTTTGCAACAGGATCCACATCCAGCCCAGAACTGCTTTGAGCCCAGGTTCAACTGCCACACAAGACCCATGTTCCTGTTCTCACGATGGGGATGTGGCTGGTGGGAGTGTTGCAGCTACATGGCTATTCCGGGTTGGGGCAATCCCAAGCACAAATACAGGCTTGACGGGGAATGGATGGAGAGCAGCCCTGAGGAGAAGGACCTGGCTGTGCTGATTGACCAGAAGCTCAGCATGAGCCAGCAATGTGTGATCACAGCTTAGAAGGCCAACTGTATCCTGGGCTGCATCAAAAGAAATGTGGCCAGCAGGTCAAGGGAGGTGATTCTGCCCCTCTACTCCACTCTCGTCAGACCCCACCTGGAGTACTACGTACAGCTTTGGGGTCTTCAGCACAAGAAGGACGGGGACCTGTTGGAGTATGTCCAGAGGCGGGCCACGAGGATGATCTGAGGGTTGGAGCACCTCTCCTATGAGGAGAGGCTGAGAGAGTTGGGGCTGTTCAGCCTGGAGAAGAGAAGGCTCCGGGGAGATCTTACTGCTGCCTTCCAGTACCTAAAGGGGGCCTACAGGAGAGCTGGGGAAACTACTACTACTACTTGGGTATGTAGTGACAGGACGAGGGGGGAATGGCTATAAACTGGAAGAGGGCAGGTTTAGATGAAACATTAGGAAGAAGTTTTTCACTTTAAGGGTGGTAAGGCGCTGGAACAGGTTGCCCAGAGAAGTTGTTGAGGCCCCATCTCTGGACATGTTCAAGGCCAGGCTGTACGTGGCCTTGGGCAACCTGGTCTAGTGGGAGGTGTCCCTGTCTATGGCAGGGGGGTTGGAACTTGATGATCTTCAAGGTCCCTTCCAACCTAAACCATTCTATGATTCTATGATTCTGTTCAAAAAACCCGTCATCCCTTAAGCCTCACAAGGGCCGCAGTGCAACCTGGCTCCCAAAAGGTTGTGTGGCACCCTAAGACAGTACTCGAAAGGGCTGTATACTTTCCAGACATGCAAATCATCTTGTCTGACCAAACATCAAAGCACAACTCCCTTCCAACACAGGTTTCTTACTATACTTGCCTTCACACAGCTTAACCTTCTCCTCTATAAACAGCAGGCCTTTCACAAGGAGCTGGTTCTGCCAAGAGAGAAAAGAGACATGCATTTGCCTTTTCTGAGATTTGAAATAAACATGGAACAATAATTTTTTTCAGATGTTATCCACTTTGCATGCAGTTGTCTAAAGATTAGTCATATCATAGTACTTTCTCCCAGCATCACCACCAGATCTGGTCTCACTGCGAGTGTTGTACATTAACCCCCTTCCGTTCAGCCAGACATGAGAACACAACAGACACAGCAGATAGTAGAAACACTTGCCAGAAATGGGAAGCAAGGACCTGTCCTGGGTCACAGGGAGGGAGGCAAGAAAATAAAATGGTTCTTAACATAAGAGTGCAGCCACATAAGCTATGCCTCAGTCATGATGGAGGTGATCAAAGGGCCAAATGCTACCAAAACGTCCCATACTCTTCTTCCTTTGCACTAGTTCAGTGCTCGCCTGACTGCAGAGTAAGACAATTCAGCTCCCTAACCATTAGTTCTCTATTCCTACCTATTTTCTTTCTATGAGGCTATTGGGGGTTTTTTGCTATATTGAGCAGTTGAATCACCTCAGTATGCAGTCTCAAGCTGCAGGAGAAGCGGCAGGCGCTAGTCTTTCTAGGTAAGTATCATGGACCAGACATCAAGATATTGATGTGTCTGTTTGCAGTTCAGGACATCTAAATATCTGATAAGCTTTCTGTTCAAATTTCCCCAAACATAAGAACAACACCTACATTTTTGTTATCACAACAGCACTAGCAGAATCAGTTATTCCAAAAAGCTCTGAGAATCCCAGAGAAAGGAGCTGATATCACCACATAGCATGCTATTACTGCATCCTAAAAGGTTCAGTCCTACCACAAAGATGGATAATAAAGCCTTCTGTCCCTCTGAAAGGATTCCATATTAGGGTAGCACACAATATTCAGACACGACCACCCCACCCCTAATATGTTCATCCTCCAGCTTTTGTTTTTAACGGGTCAAAGTTGTATCTTTCTACCTTCCATCAACTGAGGAGCAAGGCACATTTTTTTTCACTCCCAATGGACACTGCTGTTACACCACTGTCTGGACACCACCATGGCCTCCTGATGAGCCGCCGTACCACACACCGGCCCTTGTGCTGCTGCTCTGGATGACAGACCTGCCTCCTGTAACCACATACCAGGCTGGCTCATTAATGACACACACAAGCAGGTAACTGTGTAACCCACCCCAAGCAAAGAGAACAGCACACCTCTGCATCCTCCCTACAATAAGACGCAATACTAAACTGGGGTACTGTTGAAGGGAGTAAAAAGAAGGAAACATTCCTTTGTGACATCTCTGCTTGTACTTGTACTTCACTTTCCAGAACAAAAGAAAAACTTGCCACTCAGGAGTCCTACTTGTTAGCACCAAACATAATTGAATGTGTTGAAAAGGAAGGTCTCTTCCTTAAATAATATGTAGTTAATCAGATTCCAGAAGTCTTTTGCGACGAGGTTGAGGCTGAGGGACTGAAGAGACCTACCAGTAAGGAAACATCTCTGGATGCGGATGCTTTGTCCTGGTGGAGAATTTATATTGGATAAGAAACTGGCTGGATGCTTGCACTCAAAGAGTTGTGGCCAATGGCTCGATGTCCAAGTGGAAACCAGTGACAAGTCGCATTCCCCAGGGGTCAGTACTGGTACCACTGCTGTTCTACATCTTCCTCAGGGACGTGGAGAGTGGGATTGAGTGCACGCTCAGCAAGTTTGATGACGACACCAAGCTGTGTGGAACGGTGGACACGCTGAAGGGGAGGGATGCCATCCAGAGGGACCTGGACAGGCTTGGGAGGTGGGCCTATGCAAACCTCATGAAGTTCAACAAGGCCAAGGGCTAGGCCCTTGTGGCAATCCCAAGCACAAATACAGGCTGGGTGGAGAATGGATTGAGAGCAGCCCTGAGAAAGACTTTTGGGTGTTGGTTGATGAGAAGCACAACATGAGCCTGAAATGTGCGCTTGCATCCCAGAAAGCCAGGTGCATCTTGGGCTGCATCAAAAGAAATGTGGCCAGCAAGTCAAGGGAGGTGATTCTGCCCCTCTGCTCCACTCTCGTGAGACCCCACCTGGAGTACTGCATCCAGCTTTGGGGTCTTCAGCACAAGAAGGACATGGACCTGTTGGAGTGGGTCCAGAGGAGAGCCACAAAGATGATCCGAGGGCTGGAGCACCTCTCCTGTGAAGACAGGCTGAGAGAGTCAGGTTTGTACAGCCTGGAGAAGAGAAGGCTCTGGGGAGACCTCCTAGTGGCCTTTCGGTATCGGAAGGGGGCCTACAAGAAAGCCAGAGAGGGCATGTAGTGATAGGATGAAGGGTAATGGTTTTAAACTGGAAGAGGGCAGGTTTAGGTTAGATATTAGGAAGAAATTTTTCACTACAAGGTTGGTGAGGCACTAGAACAGGCTGCCCAGAGAAGTTGTTGGGGCCCCATCCCTGGAAGTGTCCAAGGCCAGGTTGGATGGAGCTTTGAGTAACCTGGTGTAGTGGGAGGTGTCTCTACCATGGCAGAGGGGTGGAACTAGATGATCTTTAAGGTTCTTTCCAGCCTAAACCATTCTATAAGTCTATGGTTCTAGATTCAAAAAGCTGTCGGGTAGGAAAATACTACTGAAACTAACAAAATCAGGGGCTGAGTTCATGAAACAACTTCTTTGGAATCTCATCTCATGCAAGGCGAGCTCTGAGAGTCTTTGGGGCTGAGTGCCATGGCAATACCTTTTTTCCACTGGCATCTTTGTCAATATTTTTTCCACTGGCATCTTTGTCAATATTTCAGCAAAAAAGGGCTGGAAGAAAGAACAAGCAATACACGCTCACCAGCTGTCTCACATGCTATGGGCAGTAGGAGGAACTTCATGAAAAGTTTCATATCATGTCAAGACAGGACTGTATGGACACACTGCATGGTGTGAAAGTAGTGTGGTGTTATACAACAGAGAGGAAATGGGTACTTTTCCTTGGCTGTTGTCCCATCTCATGGCTACTTCATCCATATTAAAACATTAACTCATGTTTTGCTTCAATAGCTTACTTGTCTTAAATGAACCACATGTAAACATTTTTGAGATACTGTTTAAAAAAAAAAAAAAAAAACCCTGAATCCCCTAATGTGTATCCAGAGTTCAGTGATGACATAAGGAGGAATGGCCATCCAAATCACTAGTGGTAAGCTCTGCTAGTAGCAATAACGGTTAAATATTGTATAGTGCATACAAGGGAAAAATAATTAATGTTCATGCTTGTAATTAAGGTAATTTGGCCCTTCTGGCAAATGGCTTTTTTTCAGAATTAAACCAAAAAGTATTTAGACCGGTCTTATTCCCAAAATAATGTAGAATTTAGGTTCCTTTTAAATTAGTTACACAGCAAAACCAGAGCATTTTAGGAGCAGCTTATGGAATGAAACTCTATTATTTGAGCTGCCCATCCAAGTCACAAGACTTTGACCTTTAGGTCTAGCAGAGTGCAAAAGCAATCCTATCCGTGCAGTACAGTCAAGCTATAAACAACTCTACTATTAACCAATACCAGGAATTTCAGCACAGGAATCAAAGTTGACTTCAACAGTCCTGTTTGTCAGAGGAACATGCTAAAATTGCTATTCTGCACACAGGTGACCATGTGGCAACAGGAATCCGAAGCGCATTTGCGTGTGACCTTCTGAACCTGCTCACAAACAGTGTACAAATGGCTCTCATCAACTGCACTTGAAAAGCTGTGGATGACAACAGGTGAAAAGCAGAGCTCTGGCAATACTGCAGACAGCACAGCAGCTGCTTCTAGGCCTCACGTAGTGCACGGCTGTCAATTTAGGAGGGTACACTTTGGTCTTTGCTGACTCCTTCCAAGACATGGGTGCCTACCCAGGTTAGCAGGAGTGGAGGGACCTCTAGCAGGACATCCACCGCTGAGGGCCTGGCAGCTTGTGCTGCCTCCATGACCTGTGGTATCTCACCCTGCTTACACAACAGCTTACTCAGTTTTAGCCAAAAAGCCATACGTTTATTCTGGGGGAAAAAAAAAAAGTCCACTTTCTGCAGTTTTTTGGACGCTGGAATTCCCCCCAATAAAATAATTTGATTTTTTTCTTCCTGCAGGAGCCTATTTTCTGATTTATTCATTGTCACCAACATGACAAAAGGCTGCCAAATGAAGCTGCAGGAAGTAAAGGGAACTTGTCAGTGAGAAATGTTGTCAGTGAGAAATATTTAATGGTTGGGGGAGCTTTGTCTAGGGTTCAGTCCTCAGTCGCCATGAGTGTTAGGGTTGAATCAGAAAGCCAGAGTTCACACCAGAGTGCAGGAGGAACAGGGCTGCCAAAGGATGGGTAACCTGCAAAAACAATGTGCCTCGGAGACGCTTTTCACCTGGGCAATGACAACTGCAATTAGCAAGTTGGATAAATAAGTTCACATGATGAAAAAAAAAAATTGCAACCATTCAAAACATTGTTATCAACTAATGGAAGGTGACTATTTGGCAAAGATTCTCTAGCAGAAATCAAGACTTTGGAGGGAAATATTAAGTTCTCCATTCAAATTTTAGATTTGTTCAGCAGAAATAAATGACTACACATGTCAGGCTCTGGACAACAACAACAACAAAAAATACTTTCCAGGAAAAAACAAACAATGTAAAAAAAAGAGGGAGGGAGAAATCTAGAATGGAAAAAATTATGAGGGGAAAAAACCCCAAAACCCACTTAACAGTAAATATTTTTCTGCCTGAACAATAAGATAATGTTTGGAGTGATATTGCACTTAAATCCTTCCAAATGCTTTCAGTTTATTGAGAAAGTACTTCTTTATTTTTCAACGTATAGCTCAAGGTAATTACCTCTCCTATATAGTGCAGGGAAAATTTACAGCTAGTCTTTAATACTGCGTCATTTTAAACTACTATATAATAAAAAAGTATATACACATAGGCATATGATGGTGTCACGCTTATTTTCTTGTGTTTCTTTCAAGAAATATGAATTCCTTCTCTATCTCCAC